TTGCCTTTTTCTGCATCTAGCAGAGGCAAGCCACCCTTGAACCCTTACTATTACCCCATGATAATTATATTCATTTTAATCTCCTGACATTAAAAAATGAGGAACCTATTGGGAACCAAAGCCAGTTTGATCAGCATGACATGATAGATGATATGTATTTCATTACCTTATTTGCTAAGTAAACCATTGTCTTCTGACTTCAACAATTGCAATAGGTTACGAAAAGATGAAGCTCAGTTCTCATCCATTTACCCTCATTTTAATAAATAATGAAAATATTGGCTTCATACCACGTGGAGGGAAATTTCTGGGATTTCAATGAATGACTTGAACATCCTCAATAGAAGGGGAGCAATTCTTTCTCAGAATACCTTTTTATTACGTTCAATTCCAAAACATCGGGGCCAGCGTCCTTGCCGTTAGGAATGGTTTATATTAGAATCCAAAATCCCTTTGTAGTGGTGATGTCAGAATTTTAAAGCTCTCTCGAGCAGCATCATTCAGATTTTAGGGAGCCTCAGACGCCTCCAGCCATATCAGAGACTACCCCCCCCCCTTTGGCCATGTACAACTCTGCGTAATATTCCCTAAAAACCATCATTTAATACATTTAGGATCAACAACCAGTTCCCAGATTCCGATTTAATTTTGCTGTATTGGGCTCTGCTAGCTTGTAAGCGCTCGTATAACTGTCGGGCCAGTAATTTATGGGGCTTATCCCTAACTCAAAATGTTTGCTGTCTGATCTTTAAACGTTGGTCACATACCTGGCCGGATTTGGATGGTATTATATTTCATATTTTTTTAAGTTTTAAGAATATTTTGTAAAAGGTGGGGAGGGGCTGGAGGAAGTCCTGTATTCATAGTTCCTGTTGTGATAGCTCATGTTATCAACTTTCTAACAGCCGTTGTTCACCTTTTCCTTTTTCAAGTGAATCTTCAAAGAAATTATGATGGTACACATCCACAACTTGAAAAATATGCTAAGAGTATATATATTCATGCGTTTTCACTTGTCACTCAAACGGATTGTTGATGTTGCTTTGTTTGATGAGACGGCGTCTGCCCTATCCCTCCCTCCCTTCCCTAACGGACACCTGTTTGACTAGTTGGAGCTCTGTTTAGGAACCCGGAATCAGGGACGTTCCCAGTGGCAACCTGCTGTGTTATCCACGATGACATCCATGGAGACTTGAGGCACTGATTGAGAGGCTAGACGAAGCGACTCTCCAGGCTTGTATGTGCACACACACACCGATGGCACTGTGACACATGTGCATATGCCTTCGCCGCTTTGTTACCCCCAGCTACGACAGCGGGTTCCGCGGCTGCGCTGTAATCTGGCTGCGTGTGTGCTGCCGTCTGCGCTGGTACGCCTCCACCCCCCCTTTTCCCCACCTCCCCCCGGTGCAAGTTGTTTTAAGTTCCTTATGTTGTAATGTTGTGTCATATGTGCTTATGGATGCGTGTATAGTCCCTCTGTTTTACCTCGCGCCAGTCCCCACACCTGTTCCCTTCATGAGTAATGCAGGACCTAACCCTGTGTTTGGAGATAGTGCTTTTGTATTGTTTTCTATTGAAACACAGATTTCCTCCCGATTGGATGAATCGGAATAATGGGAGAACTTACGGGTTTGTGAAGTGAAGCTAAACACGTAATGTGTCCTTAACTGATATCTATGTGATTTATAGCTCATTTTAGTAAATGATGGTATTTCAGATCATCAATGACCAAAGCAAGGGTATGTTTAGGGGCAGGTACATTGTGAAATCTGTAAGTGAACAGGAGTGATAAATTCCTGTAATTCCTTACCAAAACCTTAAAAATTTTCCTTTTGTTTAACTCTAGAAGTACTCTTGTAATTTGGGGTTTTTCACTTGGTTTTTGTTTTGGTTTTGTGTTTTGTTGTTGTTGTTGTTGTTGTTGTGTGGTGTTGTTGTTGTTTTTGGATATAATCCTTGTTGTAATAAATGTAGTTTAAATGTTCATTCCATAAGTTTACGAATATGTTATTTCAATTCCTATATCTCAGAATCGATCCATAATTGATAAGGTTTAGTTTTTGTAATAACATAAGTTATGTGGAGTTATACATTTCTTCTTCGTATACAAGTTAATATCCTTTATT